GGTAGCACGTATTGACAAGCCCAGAGAGAATTACGATCAGGCTACAGTTAGCACCTTTCGGCTCATTGTTTCAGTTTTGGAGATGTGTGGAGACCAAAACAGAGCTAAAAGGAGACTGATTATTTGACTTCCATTAGTCAGGTGTCCAGACATATGACTCCAATTGAATTCTAATGTTTCTCTGTGTCTGCTGGATGTGTAAACAGGCTACTATTAGTAACAACTAGTCCACGAGGCCTTTGATTCTGCTACAACAAGTCAGGGAGGCTTCTGATTGGTCAACAATAAGCCAAAAATCCTTTCTGACTGACCAATAACTCACAAACCCAGCATTAATTGGGCAATTGGTGGAGTTATGTGAATGGTGAGCAACTAGTCTGGGAGGCTTCTGATTTGTCAACAATATCTACATCACCTTCAGCAAGCATGCCAGCTGACTCATCCATTTGATGAGACGTGTTTAACGTATGAAAACTAGCTTTTAAAAATCTCCGCTAGGCATATGTTAAAAAATTCACCAGTTAAATGTTAATATGATTGTGAGTGCAGCTCATAAATAGCCAACACTACACAAATACACACACACAGACACACACCAAACATCCTTTGGTGCAAACACTTTCCATGCAAAATACATGCAAGTCACGTCACATGCTCAGTGAGACAAATGAATCACAGACTGAAGTCGCCCCAAAACACACAACTCTTATTACACACACACACTAAAAAGGCCTTGCATGGTTAAGTGAATTAATACTTCATTAAACGTAATCTTTCAGTGCATAAGCATAGGCATATGAGTTCATGCCAGAGAACATAAAGATTCAGTTCATATAGAGAATATGGAAAGCGCGCGCACACACACATAGTACGCATCTTCTAAAATGTAGACACATGATCACACACACCTATGATAGCGAGTTCAGATAGAATTCGCTATGAGAATCAAACTCTCAAACTGCAAGAAGCTGGGAATGTCTCAAAATCTCCAAGGAACTGGGAAGGGAGGGGTATTGTGGGGGAGCAGTGGGAGAAAATCTGAAAGTAAAGTTGATGGCGGGTACAGTCCTACTTTTTCACCTCTTAAAAAATGCTCTCTGAAATCCCACTCAGCTCTCCAACTGAGTTTTGATTTTATTTTCTCCCCCACCACCCCCCACCCATTCTTTCTTTTTTTTCTTCTTCTCCTACTGGTTTTGGAGGCCGTCTGAGATGGCGTGCGCACACACACACACACAAGCACACGCAGCCCTCCTCGCTCTCTAGCAAACGTGAGGCTTTTAGCTCCAGAGGAGGAAAAAAAACAAGGAGTCCGGGAGAAAAGAGGCACAAGAGGAGGAGGGGTGAGCGGAGAATAGGCGACGGGAAGGGCAGGAGACATTTTCTGCTGATTAAGTAAGTGTTTGCTTCGGCTTCCATTATTTGACAGACGCATCAGAGCAACGAGCAACAAATGTGAAAGCCTGCTTTGCTGAAATGTAGAGTGAGAGAGCGAAACAGAAGGATAAAACAAATCAGTAGCATATTTCGCCAAATTCCCTTCACTCCCTCGAGTGAGAGCGGTTTGCCGGTCTTCCAATGAGGCTATTTCAGCGCGATGACAATCACCTATCCTGGCCAGGTGTCCTCCCTCACCGCTCGCGGCCATGTAATCCTCTGCTTAAATCAGCGTGAGCAAAAGGACAGAGAGAGCGCTGGATGCGTTCCCAAACTCCCCTCCTCCTCCTCCGTCTTGGCACAGCATCCAGCTCCCCGCCAGAGAGGAGACACCTACGGGAGTCCTGTGGAAGTGTGTGTGTGTGTGTGTGTGTGTGTGTGTGTGTGTGTGTGTGTGTGTGTGTGTGTGTGTGCTGCTTACACAACCTCACTCACTCACACAAAAGCTCTCACTCTCTATCATACGCAGATTCTGCAGAAATCATTAGCAAAACCAGCAGAGGGAATTTCACACAGGCAATGTGCCGGGCAAAACTTCACTCGGAGCGTGCACCCCAGGGGTCTTCAATTAGACCCTAAATACCTCAGCGAGTATCCAGGGGTCCTAATTACTTCAGACTGCTGAAGGCCGGGGGCTTACCGAGGATTTGCCTGTTTAGAATAGATTTTGGCCCAGAGATCAGTCGGGTTTTCCTGTGTTGTTCGTCTACAACATCAGACAGAGGAAGCAGTCTCTGTGCATCAGAGCCGAGGCAGAGCTGGCTGCTGGTGGTGTGCTGTGGATGTATTTATAGCAGGAAAAAGAGAGACTACTGCAGGATTAATTCTCCAACCAGAAAGCAGAGAGAAAGAGAGAGAGACAGCGGCAGAGGAGGGCCATGGATCAAGAGAGGAAGAGTTAAAAATATAGCAAAAGATACATCTGTTCTCAAAGCATCAGTGTACACACAGATTTGTGCCGCCTGTGCGCTCACACACACACATACACACACACACTCACACAGAGGCATAGAAACAGATCAATCTCAGTAACGTTACAGTGCATTACAGAAGCGGTGACCTTTTTCCTAAATCTGTACCGATTGACATTAAAGGGCAAAGGAAGAAGACAGAGAGGGTCAAACACAAACCGTCCGCCCCTGGGGGGGCAGAGGAAGATCAAACATCTTCACAAATCAGCCTGCAGTCAATACGTTCAAATCCTCATTACATTTCCAAGAAGGGTCTGTAAAAATGTTGCCGCACTGATCCATGTCAAACCACCGACATGAAGAATTAGCCGCCATCAGACAAAAGAACACTTGATGTCAGGTAGGACTTCAACATGGCCAGGTGCCGGAAACAAATAAATGTACAAAGACTAGAATTATCCCGTTTCAGTGTAACTATCATTCAATCCAGACTGCAGCGCACCAACACCTGACAGTATGGTTCACAGTACGTACATTAGTGACGTTACAGGTGTAGCTCAGCATTGATAGTGCAGGCTGGGACACTCTATGCAGCCTAGCTTATAGGCAGAAAGTTTACATTTAGCACCAAAAACCAAACATAATCGAAAAGGTTGGCACACTGAATGGACACAGTGAAAAGCATCGGAGAGCGTTTGTAAGACGTTGTGAGTGTTGCCTGCCTGGTTGGCTCATTCACGGCAGATCCTGGGTCAGGTTTTTTGCTATGCATTATTGGCATGATGGAGACAATTTCACTGGTTCTTACCGCACCTGGAACAATCAATAGATTGAAAGAAAATGAATAAGCAACCTTTTAAATTATCAATCGTGTCATTTTTTCAAGTTAAATGCCAAACATTTCCTAGTCACATAACTGTGTGAGCGGCAAAACAGCCAGCCCAAGGATAAGATAATATTTACTCTTGTGTCACATTGTGACCCCCAGTTCTAAATCATCCCAACTGGAATCCTTCACATAAATCTAAGAAGCTACAGGAAGTTGAGCAATATAAAGAACAGTGAAACTAAATGAGAAATTATACCAATTAAATAATCCCCCCAACTAAATAGACACAATCTAAAAAGGCACAGGGTCAAATTCTTCTCAAATTCAGAATGTTCTACCCTAATGTGGGGGTCCCAGTGGGGGGTGTCTGTCAAATGAATATGTTTGAGAACCGCTGACTTGGATAATAGTATCAAGGATCGCCTTTGCTCTCCGAGGAGCCACAGGGGACTCTGCTGTGTCCCTGCTGCTAAAAAAGTCTATTTGTAAGACCTTTAAAGACTTGACATTTACAGACATGGAAATCAGCTGCGATCACTGGGAGGCAGAGACAGAATAAAGAAGGGGAAAAAAGATGAAAGAGCAGCAAGTGCAAGCAGCATGGCAGACAATGTTCTGCCGGGTGGGGAGGGCTGGGGTGGGGTGACAGTCTTGCTTAGCATCTCAATTAAAACTGTGAAAAATCAAGAAAGAGGGGCGAGAGGACTACGATGGGAAGCAACAGCCAAGGTAGATGGGACGGATGGATGGAAGGAGGAGGAGGCGTGGGAGGGAGGCAGACAGGGGAGGAAGGAGCAGAGGTAATCCGAATGACATTAACACACATACACACACACACACACACACACACACAGCAGCACCTACAAGAAAAAACAAAGGCTGAAACCTCCGGAGCACAGCAGTATCAGCCAGGGAAACATTCCTTCCCAAAGCTCTCTCACACTCAGCTACCAAAACCTCACTCTACACACACACACACACACACACACACACACCTACGCACACATGTTGCCTACAAAAGACAGAAACACAGTCCCAGAGGATCAGAAAAGTGTCTCCAGTGCCTCCTTCCTCTCCCCCTCTTGCTTTCCTCCTGTCCAGAGAAGTGAATCAGTGGAGGTCTGTACACTTATGAATCAATAACACACTTCAGTGGCAGGAATGATTCAATAAGGCTCAGTGACTTGAATAGACTCCACCCCTCCGCAGCTATTCAGCACTAAGTAAAGGCGGCCGCTCGATATACAGCCACTCCAGGTGTGTATCAATAACCTAATTATAACAGGCAGCCCCTCACTAAAGGCCCAGTCACATGAGGTGAATAGATTAACCTCCATAGAGCTCGCATTCCTAAAGGACAATCAATCGGAAGCTAATATGGCTCAGAGGAATCAGAGCAGTATAGTGGCAACCTGAACGTGAACGTGGGAACAGTACTTAAAGCTAGAGCGCATAGGCTTGAGGGGCAAAACACACACACACACACACGTCCTGGCAGGTGACTGTGGATGCAGCTCCAATGGATGGGACCAATTATACACACATTTGAGTCACATATTTTTTTGTCACATTATGAAGCTTGTTGATACAGGAAGAAATCACATCAACACACACACACACGCACACACACACAGAGACATGTCAAACTCTGTGTGTCTGGGCAGGCCATGTGCTTACTTCTTCTAAGTCTTGTGGCCATTCAATAACCCTTGAGGTCGACTGGAAAAGCAGCTCAGGCAGGCAAGTGTTTTCTTACCTGCCACAGGTGGGAGCGCGCAGCATGTGCGCATGAGCAGACTCCTATCTCATAAGTAAAAGGATATGGGTTGCAGACCATCTTGAGACACCAACTCCGAGGCCGGGTGGTTTGTTTCAGGTAGAAGAAGACCACGGGGGCCAGGGTGGGGTAGGGCAGGTTCTCCTCGCCGCTCGCCGACGCTTCGTCTCCGGCTGTAGAGATCCCGTCGGGCGCCGGGGACGCGGGCTCCACCACCACCTCGCCGCGCTCCCCGCCTCCTATCCCGACCCCGGACAGGTCGTTGAGCCGGATGAAAGTCCTCGGCAGAGAGGAGCGACCCTCCGAGCCCCTGGCGTCTGGGACCCCGGAGAGATTTCCCCCATCCTCAGCCATCATTCACCTCCTGCGAGCAATAGGCGAACATAAATATATGATTAGATACAGTAAATAGAGCTGACAACCAAGAATCTGCAGCAGCCAGGGGGGGAGCGCATTATTAAGATTCAAGAAAATGTGTTAAATCTGCAGATATTTATTTTGAAATCTACCAACTTTGCATACAGTGAAAAACATCCTGCTGCACATATACTCACAATTACATCTAAATATTGTAGGAATACAGGGAACAGTAGGGAGCACTGGTGGTGGTGGAGGGGTTTTTATTTAAAATATGCGCACACTTCGAAAAATTATTGCATTCAATTGTTTTAAAATAATTAATATAGTAATACAAAACTGTTATTTTATGGATACAGACCTCCTAAACATGTATTTGCTGCCATAAGCTGGTAAAGAGAACGGAGCTCCTAATAAGCCTCCAGAAAATCATAAGCGCGCATTCCTTTTCATCAAAAACAATGCCAAAATCTCTCTCTCATCAGCAACAATAGCCTGCGATTGTTCTAATTCGTTTCCAAACTTCAGCTTCATCAATTAGCTATCTACAGGACATTCGTTTTGAAGTGATTTGCAGCAGTTGTTTTTCTAAATGAGAGCAGGAGCATCTTTCCGTTCGATTTATTACCTGTAATGGACTCGGTAGATGTGCCCAAAGCGCGCCCAGTCATCGCATGGTCACTTTCTGTCTTGGCTGTAAAGCCCACACCAGCCTGAAGAAAAAACCCGGTTGGTAAGAAGGAGAGACGAGGAGAAAAGAGATAAAGAGGAGGAGAACAGGGAGGAGAAGCGACAGGAGAGGGTCTTGTGTTTGGTGCGTCGGGCGGGCCGTATAGTTTCCAGGTGGTGTGCCGCTGCGCGGGTCCGTCTCAACACACACCGTGCGCCCCGGTCTCCAAGCCTCTCCAGGGGCCTCACCAATACTTCATAAGCACCCAGTGTTAGAAATAAAAAAAGGAACAGTGAGATGTGTGCCTACTTTTGCAGCGTTCAGCCTCAGGTAAAATATTAACGCCGCGCACAAACTTCTTTATGATTCCCTCCTCCTCCACGGAGCTGATGGATAAAACCTCCCCCGAAAAAGAAGAAATAATGAAACTGTGCGATCTATTCGTTTCCCCGCGTGTTCCTCCGCTGTTTTTCCCCTTCAAATGATGAATCCAGTACTTTTCGATGCATCCACAGGCGGTTTTCAGCGCATATCCTGCACCAGTGTTTTAAAGATCCATGGAGATGCTGCTGCACGTCCTGTCGCTGAGCACAAAACAGCCGTCAAAGAGAATACCTTTGATATTTTCTAAATATCACAAACACCACCCCTCTCCATTGTTGCACACATGAACGACCGGGCGCTCCTGCTCTCACTCGTGTCTCCTCCAGACTGTATTTGGTCGGTTCCGTCCATCAGCAAAGCCCACACAGCTGGATGGGGGATCCTAACTTCTCACTCGCCGCCCAACGCCCACTCTGCACCAATAACGGCGCGGCCTGACTTGGAGCTACCTCCGGATTGGCCAAGATGGATGTCAATGTAAGTTGTACAGCGGGAAGGAGGGGGTGAAACAGCTGGAACTTTATTGTCAACCGTCAGGCAATGAGAAGCGAGGAAACGACGGCATCTAGCAGAATCGCTGTGTGATTGGTGCTGAGCTTTATTATGGATAGTTTTGATGGGAAAAGTTGGCAGACTTTCCAATTAGCATGACCAATTAGTATTGGCTTTTATTTACAAATTCAACAAAATAAAAGAAAACGGAAATTCGTCATTCTCATGTAGCCGAATCATAGCTAAAGTAGTGAAATATAAATAAGGAGCTTCTTTATTAAAGTTGCCAGATTTGGGGACCCTGGGCCCTGGATGAGTGCTCTGGCATGCATGCAGGTGGCCACCAGGGGAAGATGTTTCCCCAGGCTTTTCTAAAAGAAATACAAATAATAGTAGAAGTTGGTAAGAATATAATCAAGTATAAAAATCTAAGAATATAATAAGAAATGATAATACATTTGGATACAAAGATTTACAGTGTAATGATAAATAACAGGAATAAATAAATAGTGTAATAATAATTATGTTAGTGATGAGGTGGAATGGATTAAAAATACTTAACTCACCCAAGTAATGAAACTGGGTTTCATTACACTTTTTCTGACACTTTGAGGGAGGAATTAAAAAGTTTGATGGCCACAGGCAGGAATGACTTCCTCAGGCGCTCTGGTGCATTCGGGGGGATGAGTCTTGCACTAAAGGGCTCCTGTGTTTGACCAGCACGTCGTGGAGTGGGTGAGAGCCATTGTCCAGGATGACATATAGCTGGGACAGCATCCTCTTCTCTGACACCACAGAGTCCAGCTCCATCCCCCAACATCACTGGCGTTGCGGATCAGTTTGCGTCTGTTAGCGTCCACTACCCTCAACCTGCTGCCCCAGCATACAGCAAACAGGATAGCATTGACCACCAGAGACTCAAAAAACATCCACAGCATTGTCCAGCAGATGATGAAGGACCTCAGCCTCCTCAGAAAATAAAGACGGCTCTGGAACTCCCTGTCTGAAGTGTTCTTAAGCAACTCTGAGTATGTACAGCTGGTTTGGGGAGTAATACAGCCTGAGGCAGAGCAGAGAATTGTACTCTGTAGTTTTTAAGTGACATTCTGTCTCTAAAGTTCAATGCCCCTGTTGCACCTCTATCTTCTGTATTTTAAGGAAGCCTGGTGCACATGCAGACACATACACAGTATCAGCACATAACTCACTACACTGCAGTGGCATACTTTATTTCCATTACATTGTATCATTGATCTGAGAGCAGGAGCAAATCAATGAGGAGTACAAATTTATTTTTCACAGCATCTGTCGCAGCAGTAGCAGATATTAATCACCAGGCTGTTCACACATAGCTCATTGTGAAAGCATGAAGAGTGAGCATCACACGTGCACACATGACCTGAAAAAAAAAAAACACCTGCATGTGCACAGAGGAAGAGAGAAAAAGTGAGAGCGCAACTCTTTACAGCCTCTGCTAATCCACCCTGTTTGGGCTGATTAGCTAATTGTGTCCTATGTTAACAGAGAACCCATTAAAACATATTGACCCAGTACTGTTTGCACCTATAAGACAGGAATGAGGAACCATTCTGAATATATAAGAGAAAACACAATGAAGACCAGGTTCTGGGTGAAGCACACCTAAAAGAACAAATACAACATGAATAAGCAATGCAATAATGCTATCTATTATTCACACACTGGAATAAGGCATTGGCAATTCAACACTGAGTGCCCAGGAACACTTCCCAAGGCGAGCTTTTATGAGCGGTTGATGAATGATGTTTGTTAGTGCTGGCCGGTGTGAGCTAAGACCCCAATTTATCAGAGTGAGTGATCTCAGCTCTCCGGGGGAAACTTTCTCTCATGGCTACTCTGCAGGCCTCCTGACCAGCAGCACTGTTTGCACGGACACACACCTCATACATTACTGCTCAGCTGACTGTCACGAGAGACCTTACTGACGGAGAAAGCCTGACACTGAGGAGGTTCATAAATCAGTGACCCGTATCTCTTCAGTAGACAAGAGGCTCCAATCCATTCCAACAGCATTATGAAGACTTCTGCTCCACAGAGAAATAAGTGTGCATAGGGGAAGAAGGAAAACATCTAATGATGGAAACAAATGATTGTACTTTATTGACGATAGCCTACTAGGTAATGTCATGTAGGTAAGTTCATTGATAAACTGATTCTTAGATTGCACTACTATTGCCTTCGCAAGGTTTTTATTAGCCATGCTAGTGGCTCTAGGGATGCAATGTCCATCTGTCATTTTGTCAATCAGTTCATCCCCCGCTTTGGCCAAAAATATCTCAAACATATTTCTTCACTAGGCAGATGCTTTCATCCAAAAGCAATGTACAAAAGGAGTACAATCAAAACAGCAGGGTTTTGTACAGAAATTCATGGCCCCCAGTGGATGAATCCTACTGACTTTGGTGATCTTCTTAATTGTATGTCTTGCATTGCCATGTGGTTGACATAATTGGTCTTTAATGAGATGCCACAAAAACTACTGGATGGAGTGCTGCAAATGTTTTTTCTAGAGACGATCATGGTCCCCACAGGATGAATTCTAATAACTTTGATTATACCTTGTGCACATTGGTCCAGAGCAAGCTATTTCACCGACACCAGGCTGTATTGCCATAAAATATAATTTGCGATCATTCACGGTTCCCTAAGGATGACCCCTAATTATTTTACCCACGACCTGAGACCAGGTCAAAATTTCTTCTTGATTAAGATTTATTTGGTCCTTGAAAAGTTATTTTGAAAACTAATGGCTGGGCATCCCTGAAATGTCAAATGTTCATGGTCTCCACATGATGCATCCTAATCTTTATGGGGAATCTCTGACCTTGCATTTGGCACCACCATCACCTAAAATGACTACTTGTATACAAATATACTAATAAAATAAAATCTATTCAGCAGACTCATATCAACTCATAGTAAGTGTAAGCAAAGGGTAAATTTAAGGCCCCCAGAGGATGAACCATTTCCATTTTGGACACTCATTGCTTTTCTTTAGGCCTAAATGTCCACTTTACCCAAGATTTCTCTCAATCTAATAATTGGCATCAATATCCCTTCTGGATTGTAAAGACCCTCTGGTGCCACACTCAGGACAAACTCAACAGTTCTAGCAAAAGTATCAAAAGTATGTTATTTTCATTATTTTCATTTTCTTGTACAACCTTGTGTTGTATAATGATAAATAAATTACCTTGAACCATGATTTTTGGTCATGCTAGCAGTGTGGTGTTAAGGATCACAATGTGTATGTTGAGCCCTAATTAGTCCCCCCCCCCCCCCCCCCCCCCCCAGGCTCTAGGAATGAGGATTGTCCAGAAGAAGTAATTACTATATTGATCATTCAGCCATCCTATCTCTCCTTGCACCAATATTAATATACAGGACGGGAGGCTGTCCAATCACTTAAGACTTTATTGCACCTCTGCAACAAGAGTTCCTTTTGCAGCCCAGCACTCAAATGACTGGTCAATTCTTTTTCACATAGACATTATTAACAATGAGTACTGATGTTGCAACAATAAGCCCCTGATACATACTTCTTTCGAAAAATTGTGAAGTTGATGCAAAGGTTTTGCTTGGTTGAATGTCACACAAAAAACAACCCTCTGTCATGCTTAACTATTCCAACATGCTTGCTTAATATGAATTTGGGATTTGTGAGATCGATATCAGTTCTGAGATAATCAATGACAAGATAATTAACTCCCAAAGGTGCCACATCACAGGACATTTAATGGCTTTATGTAAGGATGTTTGGCTTTTGTAGCCTCTTGGTAACTAGGATCTACACAAATAAAGCCAATACAAGTAGTCAAATAATCCTTGTGTTTCTCTTTTTTTCATCAGAGCTCCCTCACCACTGATAATAACAAATCTAGTGCTGTGGTTCATTGTAAATGAGTATTATGGGGGAAAACAGACAATTTTACATGAAATTTTCTGTCATGAGATATCCAGTAACTACACTTTCCTAAGCAGGGGAAAATGGGAATAAGGACAAAAACAATTCAAACTGTTCAATTTAACTGACGGCATGTTGACATATGTCAAACTGGTTCCTTTTTAACAATAAAGATGAAGCTTCAGATGAAGCTGAATATGAGCTCTGTGGTCGCAGTCTGGACCAGCAGCCCATTCCTATTGTAAGTGCAAACCTGCGCTCATTTTAAAGCTAGCAATTGATAATATTTTGACATTAAAGGACCAGAAATTGTACCTTTTTTTTCATACTACTAAATAAGCAATAGTCAAAGTTTAGATTCTCAGAAATAATAATAATAATAATAATAATCTTTATTTGTAGAGCACTTTTCAAAAACAAGTTACAAAGTGCTTTAACAAGTGTAAAGACAATAATACCCAAAAGACAATAATACAAAACAATACAAGATAAAAGCAAGAAAACACTGAAAAGACTAAAATACACGTTTAAGATAAATATAAAATTAGTAAAATAATAATATAATAAAATAAAAGGGATAAAATAAAGTCAGATAAGATTGGGAAAGGCTCTCCTATAAATGTTTTAAGAAGGAAACTCAGCTAAGTTTTCTAATACAGGACCGCTGGGTGTGGTCTGAACTGGCATAATGTTGCTAAACTCTGATTGGAAATAATCATGAAAAATCCTGATCTGAGGGAACAGAGAGCTGTTGCTGTTACTGTTACTCGCACTGTAAATGCGTAACCACAGCCCAAACCATAATATTTAAACTTCAAGTCTATTTTCTTGCGTTTTTGCACACATAGTGACTGTGTATTGGGCTCAAGGTGCTGTCAAAATGCAGGTGATCTACCCTTAAAACTGTTCTACTGC